CGAGAAGAATCGCAAACCCAAGACATTGGCTATAGTTCCTCGACCTGAAGGTATAGTTATTATTCATTAATACCATTAGATAATAAATATATAGACAAACTGTTAGACAATATATGGGTGGAAAAAAGAGTCAACACTTTTGTGAACACATCTGTCCTCAAGAATATATTGGTTCACAATTAAAGAGGTATTCATTTCTATATAAAAAACGGGTCAAACATATGCATAGATTAGGATTAATGATGACTATAATTTAAAGCAATTAATATTTAATTTACAGCCGCGTTACCGGCCTTTTGCATATTTGAATACGTGTACTTCGCTCGACCCGACTCTATGATGGAGGGACAGGTACTGTCATGTTTTGAGCTAATATTATAGCAATAATTGACAACATATTTTGTTTTTATCAGATGGTCTACAGTGTGAGACAAAAGTGCGGCCGACAACTGGCCATTGAAGCGCCAGTAGTGCAAACTGAGGGCCCATCCAATGGCATTACAAATGGTGAGCCGAGCTTTGCTGCGAGCGATTTGATAGTATCGGCGGCTCCCGAAACATCAATTCCCGCGGCTTTGGGTTACGCACAACAGGCGAACCTTCCGTATGTCGAGGTCTTCTGCAAGAATCGGTACATCGGTCTGTATTGACACAGTTATTGACTTTTAATTATTTACTAAATGTACTTTTAATGTGATAAACAGGCCGTTCATTCATTCAGCCCTCTATTAAGTTGAGGCGCTTAGCGGTGGCCAAAAAGTTTGGACCTCTCTCTCAAAACTTTATCGGAAAGTCTATTATATTGGTTGACGACTCTCTTGTTAGAGGTATATATTTATTGATTGCATATTTAGTATATTATATAAGATCTTATCACTAAAATATTTTTGTCATTAAATAAAAGGCACAACAATTGGACAACTAATCCGTTTATTGAAAGACGCAGGTATTTATAAAATTTACAAAGTTTTATCAAATTAATTAATTGATTATTTTATTAATTGTGAATTACAGGCGCCAAAGAAGTGCACATTCGGTAAATTGTTAGAAATTAAAAGCATTTTTAATATTAATTTTGTTACTTTTGTTGTGATAGGATCGCATCGCCTCCCCTTCACTTCCCCTGTTATATGGGAATTAATATCCCAACTAAAGAGGAATTAGTCGCCAATCATCTAAAAGCTGAACAATTGGCGCAAACACTAGGTTTGGAAATTATAATACAAATTAATTGCAATGAAT